TGATTCCATTCTCCACGAGACTCCAGTATTCTTTAGATCTCAAAAAATTCTCCATTAACATGCTCCAATGGTCATAGTGACCATCGAAGCGTGGGATTGATGGTTGAACAAAGCTGCTTCCTTCAGTCGACATTGATACTTGCTACGGCAAGAGTTGCTGCTTTCTTTGCTCTTCAGGCCCCAATTTAGTGCTCTGATACCAATTGTTGAAATATCACTTATAATTGAGAGAATGCAGAATAATATATTGAATGGAAAGTGGCTTTTAAATAGCCTTACAGAACAGAAAGCAAAAGAACACGATCCCATGACTAACAGTCCCTGATATCAAGGGATCCTCCTAAAGAAAAGTTCAAACCTTATCTACTTCCTTAAAACAAGGTTTATTTCAACTAAAACTAAACAACTTTAACAAATAGTAAATAATAACTTTTCAGACACCACTATAAATTTGGTTATGATGGCAGAGGTGGCCGTCATGCAAGCCCTCACAGAGAGCATCGTTCTTTCTAAAAGCTTATATTGGGTTGGGGTTCTCGTTTGTTTGGCCTTGATCTGAAGAGAAATGAAGGAAGAACAAAGAATCCTTCATTTCTCAAAGAGGAAGGGACTCAAACACAAACATGTTTATGGTTCAAATTATGAATCAGAAAATTTACATGGAATCGATGATTTACCAGAAGCTGGAAAGGAGACTTCTCTATGTTTTGCGAGTATGGGATTGATCATGTAAGAATGATTCTACACTATTGGATGTTGGACTGAGTTCTGATTGTGGATATGATTTTTGTGAGCAGGTTTTGCAACCCAATGACGAGTGCAACAATGGATATCAAGGGCTGGATCTTTCTCTTAACAGCTATTTGGCTGCAGAAAGATGTGACAGGAAATCTATTCCTCAATCTGAAGATGTATTTCCGTCGATGTTAGACTCGTCGAACAGGCAGCAGCAGGGAAGTACTCAACTCAAGTATTGTTATATATATATGTCTTTTATACAAGGAAAAAAAAATCGCCATGTAAAAGTTAAGCAAAACTGCATACGGGAAATTGAAGTCTAGAAAATAAACACATTCCCGTGCTAGAGCACGTTGGAGTGCAAGAGGGGTAATGAAAAAGTACGTATATATATAGTGTGTTCTATAAAAGTGATGCATGCATGCACTTTGTCCATACGTGTATGTGAAATGAGATACTTACTAACCGTCTTTTATGTTGTAATTGTAGTGACAAACTTTATTAAATATCGAAACGATGTCTTTTTTCTCCATTTTAGGACTATATTTCAACTTCCATCCTTTTTTTAATCACTAATTCAATTTGAAACACCGCTTTTCTTAACCATACTTTTTATTTTTATTTTATAAATTTCTTCATACATCCAATTTGCTGCCTCGCACTAGCAATGTGTTCCTTAGCTACCTAAACACACACACATATATAGAAGCATAATTATTTCTTTCTATATCATCATTTTCCTAATCAGCCAGTATGACATGGCTGGACCAATCATTGTGTGTTTGAGACATTAAGTGCCCAATCAAAGGCTGCCATATGTAAATGTTCAGACGTGGGCAATCTGCCTGACCTAGACACACACTATAAATTGGTTGTGATGCAAGAGGTGGCCGTCATATGCAAAACCCTATCGTCCTTCAGAAAGGTTAGCTTGATTATTTCGCTGCCGTTCTCTTGTTTGGTCTTGTGATCTGCAGA